ATTTCATTCTTTTTATGGCTGAGTGACATTCCACTGCATATATATGCATCTTCTTTATCCATTCGTCTGTTAATGGATACTTAGGTTGCTTCCATGTCTTGGCTATTGTGAATAGTGCTGCAATAAACATAGTGGTGCCTGTATCTTTTCGAATTACAGTTATCATCTTTTCTGGATATATGCCCAGGAGTGGGATTGCTGATCATATGGTAGCTCTATGTTTAGTTTTTTAAGGAATCTCCATACTGTTTTCCGTAGTGGTTGTACCAGCTTACATTCCCACCAGCAGTGTAGGAAGATTTTCTATTCTTCACACTCTCTCCAGCATTTATTTGTAGACTTTTTGGTAATGGCCATTCTGACTGGTTTGAGGTGATACCTCAGGGTAGTTTTGATTTGCAGTTCTCTAATAATTAGTGATATTCAGCATCTTTTCATATGCCTGTTGGCCATCTGCATATCTTCATTGGAGAAATGTCTATTTAGTTCTTCTGCCCAGTTTTTGATTGGGTTGTTTGTTTTTTTGTAATTGAGTTGAGCTATTTTTTTGTTTTTTGTTTGTATTTAAGTAGCCCTTGAGTTGAGTCTATCTATCTATCTAACTATTTATTTATTTATTTATCGTTGTATTGGGTCTTCGTTGCTACGCGTGAGCTTTCTGTAGTTGCAGCGAGTGGGGGCTACTCTTCGTTGAGGTGCGTGGGCTTCTTATTGCGGTGGCTTCTCTTGTTGTGGAGCATGGGCTCTAGGCACGTGGGCTTCAGTAGTTGTGGCACACAGGCTCAGTAGTTGTGGCTTGCAGGCTCTAGAGCGCAGGCTTAGTAGTTGTGGTGCATGGGCTTAGTTGCTCCACGGCATGTGGGATCTTCCTGGACCAGGGCCCGAACCCATGTTCCCTGCATTGGCAGGTGGATTCTTAACCAGTGCACCACCAGGGAAGCCCTGAGCTGTTTTTATATTTTGGAAATTAAGCCCTTGTTGGTCTCATCATTTGCAAATATTTTCTCCCAGTCCATAAGTTTTTCAAGCATATGCAGAGAATTTTCAAAAATTGTGTATTGACCATAAAGACAGTCTCAGAAAATTTCAAGATTGAAATCATGTTGGGTACTTTCTTTTACTACAGTGTAATTAAGTTAGAAATCTATTAAAAGGATAGACTATCCATATATATTTGGAAATTAAGAAATACACTTCTAAAAACTGTGAACCGGAAAAGAAGACATAATGAAAATTAGGGAATATTTCGACTGAATGATGAGAAAATATGACTGGAATGCAGCTTGTTAGATAGAAATCAGTAACTTTAAATGCATATATTAGAAAAGAAGAAAGGCTGAAAGTTAATGAGCTCTTCCATTTCAGGAAGAAAAAATAAGAGCAGAATAAAATAGAGGGCAGGAAGAAATAAAAGCAGGGACAGGAATTAATGGATAAGAAAACAGACATACAATAGAGAAGATCAAGGAATCAAAAAAGAATTCTTTTTATATCTAAAAAAAAAGAGAGGGAGAGAAACTTTTAATGGCTCGACTGAGAAAAAAGAGAAATCATAAATAACTGAAGTATGGAATGAAAAGCAAAAAGGACATGACTGCTGATATTGTTGACATTAGATAGATGAAAACATACAAGGAAATGTTTTATGCAAATAAATTAGAAAATATAGTTGAAATGGGCAAGTTCCCAGAAAACTATGACTAACATAAGAAATAGAATACATGAATAATCCTTTAACAGTTAAATAAATTTGATCAGTAATAGGCACTTCAGAAAGACTTTATTTCCATTTGGCATCCCTGGCATGTTCTTTTAAAATGTTCAAGCAAGGCATTCTACATTTCCTGATATTTTCCCAGAGAATAGAAAAAGAAAGGACATTAACACTCATTTTATGATGGTAGCATAACGTTGATATAAAAACTTGATCAAGCACAAAGGAAGTTTACAGACCAGTCTCATTAGTGAACATAGATGCCGAAATTTGAAAGGACTAATCAAGATAAGGAACCCAGCAAATGTGTCTCATGGTAATGTTGGGTTTTCCCAGGAATGGAAGAGGTTTGGTTTAATATTCAATGTAATTCACTGTATCACTATATTCAGAGATTTAAGAAAGAAAAATGATATAGTTATTTCAATAAATTCAAAATAAATTTGGTACTCAGCCTTAAAAAAAAAAGAAAGAAATGTTGCCCTTTGTGACAATGTGGATGGACCTGGAAGGTATTATGCTTTGTGAAGTAAGTCAGACAGAGAAAGACAAATACTGTATGTTTTCACTTATAAATAAAATCTAAAAAATAAAATAAATGAATACAACAAAACAGAAACAGACTTACAGAGAACAAACTAGTAGTTACCAGAGGGAAGACGGGTGGGAGGATGAGCAAAATGTGTGAAGGGGATTGAGAGGTACAAACTACTAGGTATGAAATAAGCTACAAGGTTGTAATCTACAGCACAGGAAATATAGTCAATATTTTATAATAGCTTTGTATGGAGTATAGTCTATAAAAATATTGAATTACTGTGTTGTACACCTGAAATGCAATATTGTAAATCAAATATAAATAAACTGATTGATTTGGTAAAATTCAATATCTTTGCATGGCAGGAAAACACCCCTAGCAAGCTAGACATAGAATGAACTTCCTTAATGTGATAAACAGTATTTCTCTTAAAGAATACAGCAAACATATTTAATGATGAAACTTGGAATGTGTTCCCATTTAGATTGGATGTGTCAAGGATGCTCACTCTGACCACCAATTTTCAACATCATAATTGAGGTCCTAGCTAAGCCAATAAGGCAAGAGCAAGAAAAAAGAAAGCAATAAGGATTAGAAAGGAACAAAACTACCATTATCTATAGATGATATATTTGTATACGTAGAACATTTCCAGATAAATTATAATTACAAAGTTTAGCGATGTTGTTAGATAACAAAGTCAATATACAAACATCAATTGTGTTTCTATAAGCCTACAAGAAATAAAACTTTTAACTAAGGATATCATTTACAATAGCACCAACACTATGCAATATGAATAAATCTTAACAGGCTGTATGTAAGACCTTGGTCTTATCTACTGAACAGTTGAGGAACCCAGTAGAAAAATGTAAGTCCCCGTTTGCTTTCTTTCAGGCTTAAATCTAGGAAATATACACTGTTTAAATTCAGTATGCTTACCCCGGGGTGGGGGGCGCTATACATTTTGTCCAAAATACCACAGAATAACATCCTAAAATAGTTGTTTGCAGTATTATTTTTGGAGTAAATTGATCACATCAAAATAGAATATCTTGGTAATAGAGATTTGGGGCTTGTTCAGTCTGAGTCTTTATCTAATAGTAAGTCTTTTCTGTAGCATTCTTGAAAGCATCCTCTGGTGGGAGTTCATTCACTTTTCTGCCTGAAATTTCCACTCATGGGAACTAGTACTGAATCATTTCACAGAGATTTTTTTAAGTACATATTTACCAAGTACCATGAGAGCTACCTTTACTTTGTCAAATTTAGGACATCATCAGTTGTAAGATGAATCATTTCTTCATGTTCTACTAAATAAAAAAGTCACTTTTCGACTGACACACCATTGATTTTTTTTTTTTTTTTGGTATGTGGGCCTCTCACTGTTGTGGCCTCTCCCGTTGCGGAGCACAGGCTCCGGACGCACAGCCTCAGCGGCCATGGCTCACGGGCCCAGCCGCTCCGCGGCATGTGGGATCTTCCTGGACCAGGGCACGAACCCCCGTCCCCTGCATCGGCAGGCAGACTCTCAACCACTGCGCCACCAGGGAAGCCCACACCATTGATTTTAACATGCATCTTGAGTATAGAGGTTTTTAAACGTTTTTAAAAGCAGTTTATGATTTATAAAACATTTCTACAGAAGTATTTCTCGTGTTTTACAGTTTAGAAATATTGAGAAAATCTGTCTTTAATTTTTCAGGTCTATCATGCTTCCTTTCGTATTTTTCCTTCATAATTTAAGCATCCCTAAATTAGTTCCTTTTCTTGGTTTTCCATTTATTTTGCCATCCTGGTCATTTTCCAGGATGCCTTGTAGTTTATCAGTAACCTGCTTAATACTGAATATGATGCAAACTTCAAAAAGAAAATTGTAAAATCTTAGTATTAGTTTATCCACAAAGTAGAATACTCTGAGTTCATGAACTAGAGTTTTGTTAACTTAATAAGATTTTCAGTATTTTTTTTCCTTAAAACAAGGCAAAATTGTTGTGTTTTAATTTTTACAAGTAGGTTTAAATTTTATATATCATACTTTTCACAGCAAAAATTTCTCCCCATTGACACTTATTTACTCGTTTTTAAAATTGAGGTTAAAGATGCTACTTTTTTTAAAGTTAACATTTTTTGTAACCAGTATAAACAGGATTGTAATACACGTCTCTTCTAATTATTCTTTTCATCTCTACAAATCATTGCAAAACAAATCTGCTGGGCTTCCCTGGTGGCGCAGTGGTTGAGAGTCTGCCTGCCGATGCAGGGGACACGGGTTCATACCCCGGTCTGGGAAGATCCCACATGCTGCGGAGCGGCTAAGCCCATGAGCCATGGCCACTGAGCCTGCGCATCCAGAGCTTGTGCTCCACAACGGGAGAGGCCACAACAGTGAGAGGCCCGCATACCGCAAAAAAAAAACCAAAAAAACAAAAAAACAAATCTGCTCATTATTTTAACCTGGGACTATTTCTAAATGACAAAGGTGTTTACTTGTTTTAGAAGTGAATATTTACATTTGAATTTTACATTTTTTTTTTACAATCATGTAATTCCTGGTAGTCATTGTGTGACTTCTTGCTGTGTTGTATATATTGCCTAGTTCAACTTAATTCATCTAAAGGAAGAAATGACGCCTCATAGTATGTTAAATTTATAATTATCTGATTCATATAGAATTTATGGTTTTTGATTATTGTAAAATTAAGCTTTTTTAGTAGTTAATATACTTTTCTGTCTTTAATAACACAGGTTTTGAGAGTATTTTAGAAGGGCTTTATGGACCACGGCTACGAAGAGACCTCAGTTTATTTGAAGGTAATGTTTCTTTAAATTTTATTTAAAATTTTTAATCTTCTGTCCATTTTACAAATGAAAAATGGTTGTTCTATACTAACTTTGTATTAAAATGAGTTTGTGATCTCATTTAATGAGAAAATATTTTTAAATAAGTAAATAAAATGATCTAAATATTATTTCTATTACATAATGTAATAATGATAATTACAAAATTTAAAACAAAATTTCTATTATTACATTATTATATAATCTTTAAAAAACTTTTAGTACATTGATCAAAGTAGAAAACAAAGCTTGTTTTTGGCTTAATGGTAAAATTTAATTTTTGTTATTTTAAACATTATGTGCCCTGACTTATTCTTAAAGAGGACTTAAAAAGGTTCAGTTAAATAAATATCTCCTGTTGCTTATGATATAGGCAGCCTGGAACTCAGATTGTCATTCTGAGATACGCCGCCATGTGTGTTCAGAGTTTTAATACTATTTGTTATTTCTTATAGCCTCCTCTTCCAAACACTCTAGCATAAATCCTGGTGGAAGATTTTGATCTATGCTATAATTGCTATAATATAGTTTAGTTTTTTTATTACTTGCTTGGAAATGTAGAGCACTAGGAGAGAACATTTTTGTAGACATTTGAAATTTTATAGTACAGCTCATTCACAAAATGGGCAGTGCTAGTATAGATTTTCTACTTTGATTTTGGTACAATTATTTCTGAATCTCGTACCTGTTCAGTTTTATATGCTAATAACTCTTTTAGCTTCTTTTCTTCTCTGGTACGTTCCATTCTACAAAGACCCAAGGTATCTTGTATAAATATATCTTTTGAGTTGAGGCAATCAAAAGTTTTCTACTTATTCTTTTTTTTTTTTAATTAATGTTGAGCAGGATAATTGAGTTATGAACCATAGAGCTGGTATCTATGAAAGATCATTTGTGCCAACCACCCACGTTCAGTCAGATGAATGATATCCATGCAGAACATGACTTTTAGGATGGAGACTCCAAAACGTGCCTTCTTCTAGTGTATTATCATTCTTATGACTAAGAGCTTTCTCTTTTATTTCTTAACTGTACTCATTTCTCGTTTTATCATAGTTTAACACTGCATTAAATATTTTTACCTGATATATTTATAAACACTACTAATTGTAGTTTCACCTATTTTTCTGAGCATGTAAATGAAGAAAGGAAAAATCCAAAGAAACAAGAATTTAACCTGTGCTTGATATTTCTTCAACCTTTCTTTTTAAACCTGCTGTTCTCATTCAGAACAGAAGTCAGCATTATACTTAATTGCCTTCTGATAACCCAAGTTGCAACTTGTAACTCTAAGCGTCTTGCTTCCCTCACTGTCATTTATTTATTTATATAGTTATGTGTGTATATATTTATGTCTTCGGAAATTAGTTTATTACATAAAGGGCAGAATGTGCTAATGAAATAAATTCTTGTATTTTATATTTAGACTAGTATTTCCTTAGCATACAAGTAACACATGTTCATTTTTGGAAATTAGAGAATACAAATAAATCAGAAAGAAAAAAATTACTCCTAGTTCCACGACCCACAGATAACCTTCACCATTTTTATATAAATTTAAAATATATGTTTAGATGTATTTATTCTTTTATTAAAGTAGTACATACTGTATATACAGTGTATATAGTTTTTTGTGCCTACTGATTTTGTTCACTAGTGTATCATTTGGGTATATAAAGTTCTGGATCATCATTCTTAATGACAGCACAGTATTACATTGTAGATCTATGGTAATTAATTTAATTAATTTAATACCCTGTTGCTTATACCTCATTCCATTTATTCTTTTAATTCTGATAGATCTTGTACCTTATATCCTCTTTTGTGCTTTTTTTGGTGGGAGGATTTACAAAATTAGCTAAGCTTTGGAACTCAATCTTCTTCTCACACATAGGCACATACTGATGTTGCCCTTTTTCACCCCAGACGTTCTAATAACTTTTCTCCAGGTTTCTTAGGTAAATTCTTCCTCCTTTTCTTTGCTCTTTTGAATTAAAAAAAAAGGTTTCTAATCAAAGTTTCAGGCATAAGAGGGATAATATTAATTGTAGTAATAAATCTGTATCTGTGCAAAGATAAAGACAGCCATACATTTTGAAGGAAGGTTACAACAGAGCTATCAAAGTGTAGAGCCTTTGAAAAGGCATGTAGAAGCTATCCATTATAGACATCTCCAGCTTTTTTCTTATCCTCTTCTTAAATAAGTGTGCTTTCTTTGTTATCATTGTTTAAAATGGTTTAATATTTAGATGTTAGGACTACCAAGTGTAGATATTTCTCATTATACAAATCTGTATGCAAGAATCACATAGGTGAGTGTATGTTTTTAGATAAATCATTGGAAATCTGAACCCTTGTTACTCACTTTCCAAAACTCAGGAACTAGATGAATTGGCTAGCCAAGGGATCCTTGTATATTACTCTAAATTATTTTTATTATAAAATTAAATGCATAGTATTTTTATTTTATAATACATTTAAGTTAAATAGACTGCATTGCCAATCTGCTGCTGTTTCTGTGGAAAAATGTACTCTAAACTTCATAGTGCTACTTTGAAAGTCAACTTTGGCATACAGTGTATTTTTAATTTTAAGGCTTTTTATCATCTGTATTAGTGTTTTGAGAAGTTTATATTTTAATTCTTGAAATCTATTCAGAGTCACCTCCAGATTGAATGGTTTTGAAAGCTTTTGAGTGTTGCTAACTTTTAATTTGTTGGAAACAAAAGCTTTCTGTCTTCTTTGATCTGTTCTTAGGACTTTTTGTCCTTTTGAGGAAACATAACTATTATTTCTTTTTGGAGTAAAGTCTCCAAAGAAACTTTGAATGTCATCAATTTTTATGTACTCCTTGAAAAGTTCCCCATACTCTATGCCTCTCTTCTACCAACCCAAAATTCACTTTTCCTGCTATCACATGACTTTTAAGCAGAAATTCACTCTTGTTTTCTGCTTTAGTCAATCCTTTCTCATGTCTTATTGGGGAACCAGTTTCTTTCATTTGTAGGATTGTCTGATTTACTTGCCCTGACTATGGATATTTACAAAATATGAAAAGAGTACAGTAGGCAGGCGTAAAGTGGCTGATAGACCCTTATTGGTTTTTCCCTAGCTCTGTCCACATTTCAAAGAGAAATTATATCAGAGGTATGCAAGCGATCGCATTGTGGCCAAATCCAGCTCACTGACTGTTTTTGAATGGCCTGTGAACTAAGAATGGTTTTTATGTTTTTAAATAGTTGAAAAAAATCGAAAGAAGACTTAATATTTTGTGGCTTGTGAAAACTATGAAGTCCATATTTAATGCCCGATTAGTACAGTTTTATTGGAAACAGCCCCTCTTATTTGTTGCCATATTGTCTATGGCTACTTTTGTCCTTCAACAGTAGAGTTGAATGGTTGTGACAGAGACCATATATCCTGCAAAACCTAAAATATTTGCTCTCTGGCTGTTTATATTATAGTAAAGGTTTGCTAATCCCTGACTTATACCACTGACCAACATTTAATATTTTTGGCTTAATATCCTTTTTTTCCCCAACTGTTAACACTATGATGATGGAGCAAACAAAACTACTTTTTAATAAGATTTATTGGATGACATATTTTGAATGCTTATTTTGTGTTAGGAACTGTGATGAGCAATGAGGAAAGAAAAATGAATAGGTAGTATCTTTTCCTACTAGGAACCCATACCCTAGTATTAACTAAAAAATGGGTAGCTTTCTAATATGAATTGATGCTTATTTATATTAAAACCAGAGAATCTAATACTATTTTATAGTTAGTTATATAAGTTATATTAGCTTTCCTCAATGTGTACAGAGACTTATCCAAGTGTACAGGCATACCTCAGAGGTATTGCAGGTTCAGTTCCAGACCACTGCAATAAAGAGAATAATGCAATAGAGTGAGTCCCATGAATTTTTGGTTTCCCAGTGCATATAAATTTTTTGGTTTCTACAGTTATGTTTACACTCTACCGTAGTCTATTAAGTGTGTAATAAATAATAGCATTATGCTAAAAAACAGTGTATGTACCTTAGTTAAAAAAGACTTTATTGCTAAAAAATGCTAACCATCACTTGAGCCTTTGGCAAGTTGTAATTGTTTTGCTGGTGGAGGGTCTTGCATTGATGTTTATGGCTGCTGACTCATCAGGGTGTTGGTTGCTGAAGGTTAGGATGGCTGTGGTGATTTCTTAAACTAAGACAACAATGAAGTCTGCCACACTGATTGACTCTTCCTTTCACAAACAACTTGTAGCATTCAGTGCTATTTGGTAGCATATTACCCACAGTAGAACTTCTTTCACAATTGGAGTCAGTCCTCTCAAAACCTGCCATTGTTTTGTCAACTAATTTTATGTGATATTCTAAATCCTTTGTTGTCATTTCAACAATCTTCCCAGCATCTTACCAGGAGTAGATTCCATCTCAGGAAACCACCTTCTTTGCTCATCCATAAGAAGCAACTCCTCATCCTTTGAAGTTTTATCATGAGTTTGTAATGATTCAGTCACATTTTCAGGCTCCACTTCTAATTCCAGTTCTCTTGCTATTTCCATCACATCTGCAGTTACCTCCTCCACTGAAGTCCGGAGCCCTTCAAAGTCATCCATGAGGGTTGGAATCAGCTGCATCAAAACTGCTGTTAATGTTGGTATTTTGACCTCTTCCCATGAATCATGGATGTTCTTCATGGCATCTAGAATGGTGAATCCTTTCCAGAAGGTTTTCAGTTTACTTTGCCCAGATCCATCAGAGGAATCACTATGTATGGCAACTATAACCTTATGAAATGTTTTTCTTAATGATTCCTGGTCAGTGGGCTGCAGAGTGGATATTGTGTTGGCAGGCATGAAAACAACATGAATCTTGTTGTACATCTCCATCAGAGCTCTTAGGTGATCAGGTGCATTATCAACAAGCAGTCACATTCACATTTTGAAAGGAATTTTTTTTTCTGAGCAG